GGAATGCTAACAAGTTAAATATATCACCAGGTGGAAAGCTAACAAATGTAATGTAATGATGTAAACGTATTTTTATGCTTTGCCGTACGCATATGTTTACATATAAAATTTTATGAGTACCTAGTACTCACGCCTTTTTTTGTCCAGGTCATCAGATCAGCACCGTTCGTACGATTTTCTAAAATGAGATGCCAAATTAAAGGGCTTGAGCTGCGGATGTGCAATAAGGTTTTACTTTTTCGAAAAAAGTTGCCGCCTTTTAAATAATTAAGCTTAAATTATTTAATATTCAATGCCCTCAGATCCGCACCATTCCTTCGATTTTCAGTAGTGAGGAGCCAAATTAAGGGACTTAGGGTGCGGATATTCAATAAGGTATTACTTTTTCGAAAAGAGTTGCCACCTGTTAAAAAATTAAGCTCAAATTATTAAAAAAGTTAAATAAATTTTTACAATATGGGTATCAACCGAAATAGTTTTGAAAATGGTGTAGGAGGGTTGCTACATGTTTAAAAAATCCAATTAAATTTTAATTAAAAGAATTCGGTAAGTGAACAAGGCATCACTATATAGGTGTCAGACAAAAATGTTTAAGAAGGTAGGACTTTGGAAATATTTTGAAGAGGGTTGTCACCTATTTCAGAAGTCGAATTAAATTATTTAATACCCAAGTTATATGAAATATTAAAAATGGACGTCAAATGAAAAAGTTTTAAGAAATCCTTAGTTTGACAATTTAGAATATATTTGATGTGTTTGAGCGTTGCCCCCAATTTAAAAGGCTAAATAAAAATTATCTAATAAGTTAAGTGAATAACCCAAAGATGGTTATCAATGGAAATGGGTTTAAAGTCTTTTATTTCGGATCTATATTTAGGAGGGTTGCCACGTGTTAAAAAAATAAATTTCAACTTAGTTTATCAGTTACTTGAAATATTTATAACAATGTTAGACGAAAGATATTTACAGATATTTTAGTTAAAAAATAATTTTTTAAGAGGGTTACCGCCTATTTTGAATGTAAATTTAGTTTAATTATACACAAGTTACATGAAACTTTAAGATATGGGCATCAAACGAAAGAAATCTTTAAATTGAACATTTGAACTTATTTAGGGTAATAGAATAGAGTTGCCTCCAGTTTAAAAATTGTATTCAAATTATATAATAAGTTTAATGGATTGTCGGAAGAAAGTTATCAATCGAAATGGGTTTTAAATTAGTTTATTTCTGTACTGTATTTAGGAGAGTTGCCATGTGCTTAAAAAATCAAATTCAACTTAATTTATCAGTTAATTGAAATATGTATAACAATGCCTGACGATAAAAAATTTTTAGTTTGAAAATACTTTTAAAGGGGTTGCCACCAGTTTGAAAAGTTTTATTGTTGAAAAGGTGTATTGTTGTTTTATTTATACATAAGCTAAATGAAATATCGCAATATTAGTGTCAAACGAAAGAGTTTTAAGACAACTTTAGGCTGATTATATTCTTAATTAGGGTTGCCACCTATTTTTTTAAGGTCATCAGATCTGCATCGAATTTCAAAAAGAGAAGTCAAATTAAATAACTGGGATTCTTTATAGTTCCGTTTGACGATTGCCATTGAATTTGACATAGTGAAAACCAGCCTTAACTTCCGCCACTATCTTTTTTGATTTAAAAGTTCTACCCTCAACTTTAACAATTTTTACTTGAAAATAGAATTAGTTCATGAGTTTTTAATGCTTGTTATACTTTTAACGCAATAAATTTTTGCAATATCGTTTATTTAAAAATTTCAAAGTTAATGGTAAAAAAATGTATAAGCATAATTTCTTCATAATTAATGCATTGAAATTTTAATGTACATTAAACTTAAAAAATTAATGCATTCATTTTTAACATTAAAATAATATACTATGCATTAAAAAAGTAATGTATTGTTCACAACTCGGGTATACATGTAGTACATGTACATATATACCG